TGTTCTGACTAGCTTTGTGAAATTATACTACATGCCTGAACGAAGCAAACAGCAGAAGCTCTGGATGAGACGCAGATTCACTCTCAGACAGCAGGAGGCGCTTCTGGAACACCAGATACGGCGTTTCATTGGTTACTACTGTAAACAAAGCAGCACTGCACTGAAACACTGCTTTAATATGAACTATACAGAGACGAGATGAAAAGAAAATACCACGTAAACTTTTCTGAAGACAGTCAGTTAAACACAGTCATATAAACCCCCAAATCAATATTGAGGATTTTCTTCCAATAGTTCGTGCATCATGAACAGTCAGTGATCTGCCTGCTACAGTATTTTTCTCTGTGCGTCCGTCTTCAACGTCTCTGGCCTGTGTTAACAGGCGTTTACAGACTTCAAATTTTCACATAAATGATTTTTTTGGAAAACGATTGCATTGCAACGCAGTTTGTGCAAGTCCAGAACAGAGACAAGTTGCTTGCAATAAGACAAAAAACGGCCGGTTGCGTAAGTTCCAGGGGCAGAAGTTCGGCCATCCTACACACGTGACTGACTGCTCGCTCGCACCAACAGGAGGAGGAAGGTCGTGTTACTCTCTACACTGCACTCAACCTGAGGGATTCCTACACTTTCAGTCTTTGAGGAGACATGAAAAACAGCGCATACTGCAGGAACGGTATAACGGAAAATATTAGTGGTTTTGAAACCGTGACATTTTCAAATCGCAGTATACCTTGAAACCGGTAATCGGCCCATGCCTAATTGCATTGCGTTTATTATAAATGATTTATTCTTTATATTCTATTTTTTTATGCATGTGCCCTTGTAATTAGAAATGCACCAATACTGAAGTTCTCCACCGATAACCGATTATTCAGAATGATATCTGCCGATACCGATAATTTGATTATTCTTTTTTTTATTAAAATCTCTCCTAACTAATGCTGTAAACTATACTGGGAACACTCTCATTTGGTACATTGCTGTTATAGCCTATTAAAGGTTAAAATGAATAACAGAGCTATTATATTCAACTGCTATTTATTTTCAGATATAATTACACTCAAATAAAAACTGAATTGTCTATATACAACTAAATTGCACATAACGTTTTCATAAACAACTGTCTTCATGTCAGATTTGTCAGAGAATGAGCTCCTCTTTAGTGTTTTTTGTAGCTAACTGAGTGGAAGAGACTCATACTCCACGCTGTCGCTTGAACTAAGCCACATTTAAAAGCGTCAAAACAGCATTTATTGTTTGAATTTCGAGACAGAATTTGGAAAAATTAGACTTTGTTTCTTATCACAAGTAACAAAGCACAAAACTCTTTGTGATTATTGGATGGGAGGTGCATTGTTTGGTTTTGAGAGAAAAAAAAAGCATGGATCTGGCAAACCCTGGCTTGAACTACGGGTGATTCATTGGGTCAAATAGAGCCTGCTTTAAAGTTGTGACAGCCCTAGATTCAACACGGTAGATTTTCTTCACACACTGTATAACTTGCAGTCTGACACGTTTTGACCCCATCCTTTTGATTGACAGGATATAATTGGCCCTGATCATTAGCTGTTTTTAATCAATCGGCCGTTGGCCGGTAGTAAAAAAAAATAGCTTTTATTGGCCAATACATTGGTGCATCTCTGCTTGTAATCAAAAACATTAACATCCCCTCCTTGCAACAAAATCTCACATGCCGCAATTAGCAAACGACAATGATCCAGTCCATCACAGTTGTACAAAATCTTGCCCTTTTTTTTTTCTTGTTTGAGAAGTGGCTTTACTCAGATATGCATCTCTAAGAAAGAAAAGATGACTGCAATATCTCTTTCATGCTGATTTTAAATAGCACAAGTTAAAGCACATGATATGTTTGCACATTTGTTTTTGAAAATGTATATTAATTGATTGTCTGCCTCTTGACCCTTCCCACAGTGTTCAAGTCAAACCTTAGTGAGATGGATTGGGTGCTGAAACGCTCCGGTCCCACAGACTATGACAGCAGCAGTGGTTGTATGTTGCGTCTAAGAGGACTGCCGTTCGGCTGCAGTAAAGAAGAAATTGTACAGTTCTTTTCAGGTACATCTGTTGTTTCACTTCAACACCTCCTAGACTTGCAGGTATTGCAAGGACATCTTTTTAAAACTACTGAAAATTTTTTGTGGTTTTTGAATCATGTCAGTTCTTCCTTTTTATGTCTTTATATAGTCAGTCAGATCAAATTGTGAAGGTTTTTCTTTTTATATATTCTTCTAACTGTCATATCAACAGATTATTAAGGATGTTTTGGTTGTATTTAACAATTTATATGTCACCAGCATCACAGAGGCAGCTGTGCTATGATTTCTTGATTAATTGATTTTAATTTCATGGATTTATCCTTTGTGGTTTGCTCTAGGGTTTTTGTCTGACATAGGGAATGATTTTGGCATCATCAGGGCTCATTTGGGGGGGGATGTATTTTCTGCAGATGAGAATGTTGCGGCTCTTTAACATGTCTCCCCATGTGGGGTTATTTGTCCTTGGGTTAAAGGGTTGAAAATCGTGCCAAATGGGATAACATTGCCGATGGACTACCAGGGGAGGAGCACAGGGGAAGCCTTCGTGCAGTTTGCCTCAAAGGAGATAGCAGAAAAGGCTCTGGGGAAACACAAGGAAAGAATAGGGCACAGGTGGGGCTGGCAAGACTGGGCTGGGTGCTAATGCTCTCTGCAAATGTGGGGTGGGGGGTCATGCATCTTTCTGCTCTGGAAAAAGATGGTATGATCATGTTATTACACTTGCAATGTTTAATTTTACATAAACATGTGACATGAGGGGACAAAAAATAGGCAGAAATATGGTTTCATGATGTGGTTGGGCAACATACTGCAGAAGCAAAGGAGCCTTTTTATAACAGGCACTATACGATACTTTTAAGATTCTGTTTCTGTCTGAAATTGGCCTTTAGATACAGTTACATTTTATGACTGGGCAGAATTTCAGACACTTGCTACTTCTCCCTCTGGTCAATAACTGACAGTAAATTGTCAGTTATTGTGATGCCATAATGAATTTAGTCAGTAGGCCCCAAATACTGTCTTCCCTAAAATCTTCTTCATTGCTGTTAAACATTTAGCAGCCTGTACGTTTAACATGTTGCATTTAAAAATAAACTCAGGTACATAGAGATATTCAAAAGCAGCCGAAATGAAATGCGTGCATACTACGAAGTACCTCGGAGGATGATGGGACAGAGGCCTAGTCCATATGACAGACCCGTGATGGGACGCGGGAGCTTCTTTGGGTCCAGTCCTGGAAGGGGAGGTGCCGTCCTGGACCAGGTGCGCAGCGGAGGCGCTTACAGTGGCGGTATGCTACTTTAATAGTGCTTAGTAACTTTATTAACGCTTACTGGGTTTTAGTTAATAAGATAGATAGCTAATTAACAAATATGGGGTTGAATGGCTATGTACACTACCGTTCAAAAGTTTGGGCTCAGAAGGATTTTTATTTATTTTTTTAATGGAAATAATACTTTTACACTGCAGGGGTGCATTCAATTGATCAAAAGTGACAGTAAAGATATTTATAATGTTATAAAAGATTTCTATTTGTAAATAAATGCGAATTCATCAAATAATCATTAAAAATATATTACCCTTTCCACAAAAATATTAAGTATTATAGTACAAAATGCAAATCTCTTGAGCAGCAAATCAGCATATTAGAATGATTTCTGAAGGGTCATGTGACACTAAATACTGAAGTAATGGCTACTGAAAATTTTGCTTTAAATAGTAATAATATGTCACAGTATTGCTACTTTTTACAGTATTTTGATCAAATAAATATTGCCTTGGTTAGCATAAGTTTTCCCTAAAAAAAAATAAAAAATCTTACTGATCTCAAACTTTTGAACAGTTCTTTCACTGACAGGAAGTGATCTAAAAGTATTGATTTGTCTCTCCTTCGTAAGGATATGGTGGGTTTGACAACTACAATGGCTTTAACAACTACTGCTTTAGTAACGGCATGTTTGAAGAGCGTGCGCGCGATGATAGAGGAAAAGGAAGAATGGGGGGTCATGGCTACAGCAGCGATTCAAACTCAGGCTTTCACAGTGGCCATTTTGTTCATATGAGGGGCCTACCGTTCCGCGCTACAGAGACAGATATCGCACATGTAAGAAAAACCACAGTGTTGCCACTGCACACATTCTTACAATATTTTGTTTTACAGTAAAGTATTATTGCCTTTGTGTGAGTGTTTGGTTTCTTTTTCAGTTCTTTGCCCCTTTAAATCCTGTGAGGGTGCACATTGATGTAGGACCTAATGGAAAGTCTACAGGAGAGGCAGATGTTGAGTTCAGATTTCACGAAGATGCTGTGTCTGCCATGTCAAAAGACAAGAATCATATGCGTAAGTTGTCTCCATTTCCAAACCTCTGTCTTAGTCAAACTGTACTGCTATCCTAATTTTCTTTTTTTTTTGAGTATCATATTTATCCTTCCACTGACTTCCTCCCTGCAGAGCATCGTTACATTGAGCTTTTCCTGAATTCAACTTCAAGTGGGCCGTCCGAAATGGGTTAGTATGACTGCGTGGATTGTTATTATGTAATAGTTTTGTTGAAGAAGGTGTGAAGACAACATTCAAATCCATGTCTTTTGTTTTGGGGGCATAAAAACACTGCAGGCCGCGGAGGAGGATTCTATGGCAACTCTGGCGGTATGGGCTCTCGAGGAAGTGGACTAAGGGGGATGTATTGAGGATGCTTAAAATTCATGCACTTTTCAACCCAAAGTTGGAACTTCCAGCATGGAAGATCTTTTTATATGAATATGTTTTCACATGTTCCTATGAAATATGCCCACAATATTTTCCAGACTCGAAGAAAATTAAATCTAAATTCATATATATAGCTAACATATATATTTGAGCTGTTGCATATAGATTGACCGGCTACTGTACATTTTGCTTAATGAATTTTATATGACATTCTGTGTTAAAGTCTAACTAAAGAGATGCGCTTTGTATGTATTTTGACTCAAAAATGAGTGTGAATAGCTTGAAGCTCAAGTTGCGTGTGAGACTGCACTTTCGTTTTCTTTCCCAAAGCAATAACATCATTTTGGATGTTTACCTGTTTTTGCTGCTCATTTCAATTTCTAATTGAAACCGGTGACATTTACACATCCATGGAATAAAACCTTTTATGGATATATTTTATTTTTGACCTAAGAATGTTCATTGATGACAACTGTAATGTAAGAATAAAGTGTGATATCTTGCTTTTGGTCAAAGCTAGATGAAACATTTGGCATCAGTCCATTCATATATTGTTTTTTTTAATACACCGGAAGATTTGTGTAGCCTTGAGTTTCGTTCATTACCGTTTAAAACTTGAGGATCAGTAGGATTTAAAAAATGTTTTGGCTGCATTTTATTTGATCAAAAATACTATAAAACGGTAATGTTATGAAATAACAATTTAAATATTGTTACAGTTTAAATAATAAAACGTATTTTAAATGGATTTATTCCTGTGATGGCAAAGCTGAATTTTTAGCAGCCATTACTTCAGTCTTCAGTGTCACATGATCCTTCAGAAACCATTCTAATATTCTTATGTGCTCAAGAAGCATTTCTTGTTTTTATGAATGTTGAAAACAGTTGCGCTGCCCAACATTCAATCTTCCACATGCATTCTGTCATCTGATATATCTCATATATATATATATATAAAAAGCAGGAAAAATGAAATCTTTCCTGATTTTTATAAAGTAACCTTACTATTAACTTTTACCGTATATTTAAAATTTTATATTATCTAGATGAACGATTACTGGACTGAAGCAACTTAGGTTTACTTAGAAGAGTTACGTGTTTGCTGAATAAAACAATTTCTTTCAAAACAAATCTTACTGACCCCAAACCTTTGAACGATAGTGTGCGTGTACTGCGACACCTAAATGCTAAAATCCATCACTCGAGAAGTGGAACTATAATCAACTTTAGTGGTTTAAGGCTATGTATAGTTTCATACATAAAATTTAAGTTAACAGCTGTATTTCGAGTAATTATCCAGACAAACGGTAGCACAAATACTCAAAATGTGTAGTGTTCCAGTTCTGTACCAAGGTAAATCTGCAATTGTGAAATAATACCGTTTGCAGACAAGAAACCTGAACACCATATTCAGAACATTATTTCTGTGCTTTTTGAAGTGAATCCACCTCTCTGACAACAATTTACTTGCATATACATACCGTTTTTGCCCATCTAGATTCAGGGAAACATTTCAAATCCTTATTTGTCAGTTTGGCTTGTTATACAGGCACATATGAATGTAAGGTTATGTATTTCAACTGAATTTGAAATGTAATTGCTCAAGAAAAGATATCCCTTTAAGTAACTGCCTTTGCTTACTTTTGAATCTTGAGGAATGAAACCTGTTCACCCTTATATATCTAAAGTATACAATGCATGGGAGTGTTGTACTAGTACTGTATAAATAATCTAAATCAGTCTACTTGCAGCCCAGATGGAGGCACTCAGTCATTAATCCATTTGTAAACTCATTTCTTTCATTGCACACTCTGTGACAAACACTGCATTGGCCATCTGCACAAGTGCCATTAAGTCTTCTGAGGCAACAGGCTTTATCCTATGTAAATTGTAAACTTCAAACACAGAGAAACGGGTGCATCCATTTTGGTCACTCTGACGATGCGGGACAGCACAGGCTGCGAGTTAAAGCTGATTTTGGCCCTTGTTACGATGTGCTGTCATTTCTATCTTACGTGGCATTGGAGGAGCAGCGCTGGAGGAGCAGAGCGTGGCAGGTGTCGCAGACTCTCACGGGTTTGGGTGAAGCAGGGAGCGGCAGCTCATTATCCGAGCAGGCATTGCAGAAGATCTCTCCACAGTTCCTGCAGTGGTGCTGTTCAAACAAAGACAAGCAAGAGAGCTTTCAAGATGCTTGGCATGGATGCAGATATGAATGTCGGTTTGCAGTTAATTTTATGAGAAGGGGCGGGGTTTAGGCAGATTAAATCGGTGTCCCAATTCAGGGCTGCATCCTTAGAAGTCCACAAAGATCGAACTGAATGTTGTTAAATGGAAAATTCTAGCCTACAGAAGATTGTTCTTGTCGCCTAGCAACTGACCGCTGCATTTACTAGAGGACTTTTATGAAAGTAATATTCAACTGTCTGAAAACAAACCAGGGTTCACAACCGGTCTAAATATGTTTACCTTGGTCCATTATATACTTAAAAAAAAAGAATAAACTACCAATAAAATCACATCTTGGTAAGATATGTCAACATTTTAACCGCTTTAAAAAATTATTATTTTTTTTTTTTACATTTGTATCATTAGATACTTGAGCAAGTTAACACCAAATATTAACATTTAAAAAAAGTGTTGTAATCTGCCATTTTGAAAGTCCTGTCATCTGTCTAGGCCAGGCCGTGTTGCATCCTTTGTAGATCGGGAAATAAAGGACTTAATTCAAGGTCGCATTTGAGACTTTGAAATGGGACAGCTTTGTCGCACCACTGTGACGCATTCTGTCTTGGAATGCTGCTTTCGAAGGATGCAGCCTCTGAATTGGAACACAGCTTAAATGTCTGGAGAGGTCTGGCATACGTCACCAGAAAGAAGTATGTCGTTTCACTGGAGGATCGAGTAATGACATTTTAATTAAATATTGGGATGTCCCAAAAAAATTAAACATGTATGGATGATAGATCCTTCACAGTAAGATCAATAACATGCATTTAGAAAAGTTTTCATTTCATGCCGACTTCAACAGTACAGAGCACCACTTGCCAACTCAGTCTTTTATTCAGGCGTCATCTAATCCTCATTTGGAAATGTTTTCAAGTCTTAAATCCAGTACGGTCTTTGTGCCAGTGAATTTCTTTATTTAGAGCAGTTGAATTTGTGTGGATGTGTGAGATTGGACAGCAAGCTGTGATAGAGACAGATGTATTACAGCGTAGCAATTTGGTTCTGACCTTTCTCCTGGAGATTGAAAATTCCTTCTCACAAAGCTTGCAATGCGTAGCATCTTTGTCCTTCAGCCAAACCTGTCCACCCTGAAATCAATTGTTTATTAATATGAACAAGTTAAATTACTCTTACAAAAAAATATATACTGTATATCATGGTACATGTCCACAAACATGTTCCAGGTACTTTTTTGTTGATCTCAAACAATGTTTCAAACCTGAAGTGCCTTGTTGGCTTCCTTTATATCTTCGATTTTCAACTTTGACCTAAACAAGAAAAATGTGTGTATCAGTAAAAGAATAACATGATTTGAAGGCTTCCAAATGTCACTTATATATAAATCCTACATACTCGCTGAGTTTGCAGCCCAGCTCCTCCAGCGCCTGTTCCTGCTCTTCACAAACTCCCTTCAGCTGCGTATTCTCATCCTGCAACCTGTGAAACTCCTGATAAGACACAAGGGCACGTCAGAGCCCAAGACAGGATGTTTGCATTCAGCACAACGAAAACATCCATGAAGAAGCCGTTTAAATGACACAAACACCTTAATCCTCATACAGATGTATTGTGGACTTAATGGTTATTATATTTCTCTCCCTCGCCATTGTTGAGATGAGAAACTCATCTTACTTTTTTGAGTCCGTTGATTTGCTGTGCTTCAGCAGTAAGTTGTGCGATGGTCTCTCGTTCTCTTTCTAATTCATTCTGTAACGTCTGCCGCCAGTCCCTCTCTATTTTCATGTCTGTTTCCAGCTGCATCCTAAACAAGAAGTGTCAATTAAAATCTACTTCCTATTTTCCACACCAGCATAAATGGGACATTGTGATACAAATTTTAAAATTCGAATTCTCTTCCATAGCCGTTGCAAAACTTACATTTGTTTCTCTCTCTGGGCAATCTGCTTTTGGAGACTGTCAGCTTTGTTTGTGAAGTCCTGCTTGAATTTGCGCACCCCGTCTTCGGCACCGGCACGTTCCCTCTCGGCATCCTGCAATCTGGTGTAATTCAAACCAACTGGGTAAAACTACGGCTCTGAATGGAATGGAATGGGCGGGAATGTATTGGAACAAATGGGAAACAAAATAAAAAGATGGCCATAATTCAACAGCCACAATAGAGCGGGAACAAATACAGAGCCGGAAAAGCAAGAAAGTTGAAAAGAGTTGGCAATTTCATAAGTGTCGAGGTTACTTTGATTTTCTAACGTTTTTTGACAAATAATTCACAGAGTAAACACTGACGAGTAGTTGAAAACATCAAATTTATTGAAGTCTGTGATAAAAGACAACATCATATTTGTGGTTTCTTTGACTGTTAAACGTTACAGGTAAATATTTACGCTAGAGAACCACAAGAAAGATTTGCTCACTAAATAGTATGTGGAAAAACAGTAACTACCATCAAATAAAACTTAAAAGGGGGCTAGTGAAGAATGATCAACTCATCACTTTTAAAGTCCCCCTGTAGTGAAAATCTATGTTGTTTATTTGTCTATGTGGTGTTTTTAATATGCTTTTAGACAAACCATGTGCCAATCTATTAATCAACACCATTGTGTGTATTTTCTCCTTAAAACTGTAGTATCCCAAAGGCTGACCCAGAAATATGGTTTGAAACAGCCCTTGGTTTGCTACGTCACAAACCAATAACCAATCACGTCAAGGGATCGATTCCTATCACTAGCATGCAAAATATACCAATACCAGCACAAAACCAAAAATAAATCACAGCAAAAAACCCATGAGGCTGTGGTTTAATGTGAATTTAGAACCGCTAACTTGCATTATAACCCGTGGCAACAGTGTAAAAGTAGCCCGGAGACTTCACGGGCGCGAATTAACAATCACAAACGGCTGCATTTGAGTCTTCAAGGTATTTTAGGACACAACATCGTCAAGTAAGTAACTTTAACGAATGTTACAGTATTCACTGTAGTTGTCCGCTAGTAAAAACATAGTTTTGTCAGTCATTATCCGTGTATGCCATTGTTTTGCGGTTACTGTTCAGTGGATCAGGAGGCGCTGGCTCGTGTGACTGAGTGGAGGCGGGACTAATTTACATATTCATAGATCCGCGTATAGTAAATGAGGCAAGGGTGTAGAGTTACATTCAAGCTATTTTAAGGCATGAGAAAATTATTTTCACAAGAAAAAACATTTAAATATGTCATTTTGATGATCAAAGATAAGTTTTAAGGGATAAAATATTTGACTACAGGGGGACTTTAAGAACAGTGCATATGGCCACACAACTAGTGTTAAGTAACAAACAGCAAATCTATCTT